GATGTCTCTTTGGCTCCGTAGATGTGCAGAAAATTAACGTTTGCTTGCTGGTGTACCGCTTCAGTGCACTTGTAAATGTTCATCTAAAAAAGGAGAGGGAAAAGAAAATGTAAAGAAAAAAAAAAACATCAAGAGGCCTCAAGAGAGTCACAAGATAAATCAAAGACTTTTTTTGGCTGAATATGGAATTTGGCAAATTTGGAGTCCAAGCATGGTGCACATTTTACATTTCGATAGCTACAGTTACAAAGAAACATGTCTCAATTCCCTTGAGTAGTCTCAGGTTCCCAGTGCCCCAATATTGCGGATATTAAATAGAAATTGCATCAATCACACTATATGGAAGATCAGAGCAAATCCCTCTATTGAAGAAGCATTTTCTCTTTATTATCTCACAATTTTTCTTTCCTTTGAGGTCTGTATGGAAGACATACAGAGCTACGAGACAATCAAACTCTCTGTAATGTGCAGTGTGTATAAATCTATCTCAGAGCTCCACAGCAATAAAACTCACAATACATTCTAGTGTGTTTAAGTGTATCACATGCTCCCCAGTATTAGAATTTTCGTCAACAATGTAAGTATCACCTCCATGGTATCTAAGATTACACAATAATTATTATTTCATTTAGTGGTGTGGGTGCTATATGCATGATGCATTCCAGCTTAGAACCACACAGGCAGAAGCATACAGTAAAATAATAATGAGGCACTCTCCCGCATATAGGAATGCGTATGATTAAGCACCCATTACTGCAAAATGCTTCTAGTGCAAAATGTTTATTTTTCTTCTGCTCCATAAACTGAGACTCAAAGCAATAATTCCAGGTTAAAGGGAAACTCATATGGTTTATACCATGTGCAGCTGAGATTCTTAATAGTCAACCCCTGACATTGCTGAAATATTTTATACAGGGGGAATGAGGCATTTGCTTGAAAAGAAAGCAGACAGAAAGAAAATCAGGCGGTTTCAAATATTCATTGCATAATATGGTTTTACATTTACAAATTCGCAGCAAAAATACAGAAGAAACAAGCTGCTGAAGACATGTTGAAAGGTGCCTATGACTAAGTGCCAATGGTGGCATAAAATGTGTCAAGTTTCCTTTTTTTCAGCTGTTTCTAACCACTGTGTATTTACTGCGAGTTTGTAAAAAATTAAATCTTCTTTATGTAATGAATATTGGAAGCATCACACTTGCTTTTAGTGTACTAGACTAATAACCTTAATTTTCAGATTACTAATAGCGGGCAAATCAACTTGGCAGAGAAATGTCGGTCATGGTTGTGCAGTGGGTCAACAAAGATATCTTGGAAAGGGAACCATAATAATACATAAAATAGTTATAAGATAGTTTTATCATCCCAAATCATCCTTTTAGGAGGACAGTCTATATATCTTGGGCACAAATCCTTCTGTCCCTCTTTTCTACCCCCTATTTTCTAGGAGCTCCTAGAGTAGCGACATGCAACCTTCGGTACTCCATATGTAGACTACATCTCCCCGGATGCTTTGTCAGCATTACGGCTGTAAGATCATTATGGGAGATACTGGAGTGCCACTACTTTAGAGGGACACATTTAGCTAAGGGGTGTGAGTGGGGCTGAGGTCATGCGTGTGGCTGTTTGGAGACATTTTAGGTGACTGACTAATAACAATTTATGCAACTAAAATTGAATTTTAGAACAAGAACAATGTATTTACATACACTGATTTCTAAGCACATTTATTGTAGTTTAAAGGGAAAGTATAGTGCCATGAAAACACATTATTTTTCCTGGCACCAGTGGCGGAACTACCGCGGTCTCATGGGGTCGCAGCTGTGACCGGGCCAGTCACTCCAGGGGGTCCCGCCACCCTGCGATGGCAGCACTCGCCGCCCTGTGTTGCAGGCCTAGCCCGCTTGCTATAACTGCCAGGGCCATCAGACAGCTCAGAGGAAGTGCTCCCTCGCCAGCCACACGCCCACACGCCCGGCATGTCAGTTAGCCGCAAGGCAAATGCCTTGTTTGCCTTGCGGCTAAAACGTCCCTGTGTGTGTTTGTATGTATGTGTGTGTATTTGTGTTTGTATTTATGTGTGTCTGTGTGTGTGTCTGTATGTATGTGTCTATGTGTATGTATGTGTGTCTGTATGTCTCTGTGTGTGTGTGTGTGTGTATGTTTGTCTGTATTTGTGTGTGTGTCTGTATGCCTGTGTGTGTGTCTGCGTGTGTATGTGTGTGTTTGTATGTATGTGTAACTGACCGTTTTGCACACAAGAGGTTAAAAACCGTTTAGGCAATATTCCCCTTTTCAGATGCATCACCAGTCTCCCGAACTGCAACCACACGAATTCACCAATCTTCCGAACTGCAAACACATTAATTCACCAATCTCCCGAACTGCAAACACACGAAAACTCCAACTCCCGAACAGGAAACACACGAATGCGGTAAACAGCCGAAAAGGAAAAACCATACGAACAGTTTACACTCCTGGCAGTCACACTGTAACAGCATACAATCCAATTCCCCCCAAGAATGAGACGACACTTCGTCTGAGGGTCAAGCAGAACTCATTTACTGGGGCTACCTGCCCGGCTTTTATGCAGGTCTCCCATCTGGTGGACACTCCCCTAGGGGACCAGATGGAAGACTGGGAAACATATTGGACATTGACCAATCACAAGCTTACAATCCCACAATGCATCACAATCCCTCCTCTCTGTCCTGGAGATAATTGGGAAGTAATCCAATTATCTCCAAGGACAGAGGCAAATCTCCATTAACCACATGGCAGACAAAGGACAATAAAAGACATAAAAATACATACTGTTACGTTTATCAGATAAAACATACACATTCTACATATCCCCAGATAGCTTAGATCTGAGCGCACATTATTACCGAATGGCACTCAGATCACATACATACAGTTCAATCGCCATGGAGCCAAAGTCTTTCCCATAGTCCTTCGGTATACGAATGGGCTCCATGGCTTAGCTATCTGGGGTAACACTGCTCACATAGGGAAAATAAAAGGTTTTTAATGCAGGGCCATCGTCCAGCGGCAAGAGGTGGGCAACCAGGCTCCTCCAGTGGCCAGTGGCGAGGTTGGTTCCACCGTACAGTATGTGTGTGTCTGTATATATGTGTGTGTTTGTATGTATGTGTGTTTGTGTGTGTATATATGTGTGTGTTTGTATGTATGTGTGTGTCTCTGTATATGAGTGTGTCAGAAGTTGACATCTAGTAATGAAAGGGTTAAATTACTGGCATACATGCTCGTGCGTGCTCACACACCATGGTCCAGGAATTACTTTTCATCATGAATTGGCCTCATTCAAGAAAATTAAGCTCAACTTGCACAGAGTGTGTTGCTTAGAAACTGCTCAATCTCAAGTGTGATTTTAGGGACCTGCTGTTAGCCTTTTACACAGTAATTTGTTGTATTTCTGTATTTCACAGCAGCCAAGAGAGATTTTAGGAAAAGTCACCAGGTATTTACAACGTGCGGGCATTAATATACGAAATAGCTTTTCTGTGATTCACAATGTGTGTTTTTTTACAGCTAACACATATCAGCCAGGGTGTGTGAATAGATAGAATAAAAATAAAAAGCTGTATTTTGCATTATATATTAATTCTTAATTACTTCTAATATAAAATGTACTTAATGGACCAATTCAGATGTGATATAAGTGTTTTGTTTTTTAATATGCTTGTCCAGCAGAGAATCCCTGGCTGTTCTAGTAGTCAGAGTGAACTTTAGCCTGTAGCGTCCTAGGGCTAGAGTTCACTCTTACGAAAACAGATTGTTACCATGGTAACTGAGGGAATGCTCCGAGGTCGCGAGAGGAGACCCAGCGGAGCTGGAAGCAAAAACTCCCGGGTCTCCTCTCCCTCCCCGTCGGCCGCCAGCAAAGTGCCAGCGGTCCTGTGAGGGAGAGCTCTGATCTCCCCTCTGGTCCGGTACTATCCTACTCGGGCCGGCAGGGAAGAGCCTCAGCACTGTTTATTTTCCCAGGGGTGGGGAGGGGCAGGGGAGAAAGGGGGTAGGGGGATTGCCCCATTGCCCCCCCCCCCTTGATCCACCACTGGTTGTGGATCAGTCTTGTCCTGTGGTCAAAGACTGCTAGCATTTCTATGATAATTTCTCTTATACCGGCTCATATGCCATCTTGGTGCAGAGATGCATCCTTTTGTAGGTATGGGTGATCGTATGGGAGTTTTGTGAGTTCCTTTCTCCTCATGGCACATTCATGATCTTTGTGTAGTCCATCTAATTCCAGTTGTGAAACTAGTTTCCTTTTGACTATGTTAAAACGTTGTGTAACTAGATGATATGTCTCTCTTGATCTTACTGGCACGGTAATGCCACTATTCACACTCTCTCTCTCTCTTTCTATATGCACTGCTCAAAAAAATAAAGGGAACACAAAAATAACACATCCTAGATCTGAATGAATTAAATATTCTTCTGAAATACTTTGTTCTTTACATAGTTGAATGTGCTGACAACAAAATCACACAAAAATTAAAAAATGGAAATCAATTTTTTCAACCCATGGAGGTCTGGATTTGGAGTCACACTCAAAATTAAAGTGGAAAAACACACTACAGGCTGATCCAACTTTGATGTAATGTCCTTAAAACAAGTCAGAATGAGGCTCAGTAGTGTGTGTGGCCTCCACGTGCCTGTATGACCTCCCTACAATGCCTGTACATGCTCCTGATGAGGTGGCGGATCTGGACTAAGGCATCTGCCAACTACTGGACAGTCTGTTGTGCAACGTGACGTTGGTGGATGGAGCGAGACATGATGTCCCAGATGTGCTCAATTGGATTCAGGTCTGGGGAACGGGTGGGCCAGTCCATAGCATCAATGCCTTTGTCTTGCAGGAACTGTTGACACACTCCAGCCACATGAGGTTTGAGCAGACACATGCACATTTGTGGCCTGCTGGAGGTCATTTTGGAGGGCTCTGGCAGTGCTCCTCCTGTCCCTACTTGCACAAAGGCAGAGGTAGCGGTCCTGCTGCTGGGTTGTTGCCCTCCTACGGCCTCCTCCACGTCTCCTGATGTACTGGCCTGTCTCCTGGTAGCGCCTCCATGCTCTGGACACCATGCTGACAGACACAGCAAACCTTCTTGCCACAGCTCGCATTGATGTGCCATCCTGGATTAGCTGCACTACCTGAGCCACTTGTGTGGGTTGTAGACTCCATCTCATGCTACCACTAGAGTGAAAGCACCACCAGCAGTTAAAAGTGACCACAATATCAGCCAGGAAGCATAGGAACTGAGAAGTGGTCTGTGGTCACCACCTGCAGAACCTGCCCCCTTTATTGGGGGTGTCTTGCTAATTGCCTATAATTTCCACCTGTTGTCTATCCCATTTGCACAACAGCATGTGAAATTGATTGTCACTCAGTGTTGCTTCCTAAGTGGAGAGTTTGATTTCACAGAAGTGTGATTGACTTGGAGTTACATTGTGTTGTTTAAGTATTTCCTTTGTTTTTTTGAGCAATGTATATATATATATATGTTGGCATGTGCAGTAAAATACCCAGGAATACAGAAGACTGTGTGTACATGAATCGCAAGCTACAGATGGCATGTCATAATCCCAACAGCTCCCATGCAGTTCCGTTTTATCAAAGTTCTAGAATACATTAATGTAACCATGCTGAATCACAAACATGCTTATTCGCACCTTCTGCCACGGACGATTTAACAGCATTCGGTTGATTACTGTGTGTCAGCCTGGCTTGTTTAAAGTGTATTCTGAATTCAGTTATCCTCAATTCAGATTGTTCTCTTGTTAATGTGATCTCTATTACAGTTACAGACTCTGTTTGCAGATTTTCCATTTTCCACATCACTATAAATATGGTATGGAGCTCAGAAACTAGCTTATATTTCCGATAAAGCTTTCTGGGTTTCGACTCTCCTTGTATTGGAATCTGTACATAACCTTAACATGACGGAATATCTACTGGTATTCTTTGGATGTTCTATCAGTATTTACTTTGAGCACCACACAAAACCTTGCAAACTTCTATATCTGGTCATGTGATTTTGGAATAATTGCTAATATGTCATACATGAAACGTCCAGTTGGTTCGTCAGAACAACATTGTTCTCTACGCTTGGTTAGGCAGTACATAGAATAGTCAACATGAACTATTACAGTATTAATATGGTAAATTATTTTAGCAAGTGCCTATTTAGTTAGCTCGCAGACAGATTGATAATGCACCATTTACTTTACATACAGCCTTCAGATAGATGAATAGGTCAAACGTTTGCCTGGTATTTGAGCTAAGTTATTTTCTTCATGCACCTATATTCCGCAAGCCATCAAGGATCCCTGGATGTCTGCCACTTCACGAAAATGTCATAGAATATTTATATTTTAGTTACAGTTAACCTAAATAGCAAAGTACCTCTCTTTAATAATTCAACTTAAATGCAAAAAATGTGTTTGCTGTTCAAATTACTTAGTCCAGGGATCACCAAGAGGTTTGCCTTACGTTTTTCAGGTTAATTTATGCTTTGATGGCTATTGCAGTGAAATTAAAAACCTCTGTTATTAAACAATGTATATTTGGGTTTGGGAGTGCAGGTAACTTTTTGGGGAATCTGGTTGCATACTCTAGTTAATGCAGCTGCCAAACAGTGATGGGATTTCATGCACAGGACTAATATATATGTTTTTACCTGCGTTCGTATTGCACAGAATAGACACCAACATCTTATGCCAACCACTCCAATGGCTATTAAAGTGTAAGCTCAGTTGCCTCATCAGGGAAAATCTCTTAGATGAGCTTTACTGGCCAATGGAGTGGTACTAAAAATCTCCAGTTATTTAAATGTACATAGGGATGTAGGACAGTGTTCAGGTAACTTTTGTACTGTGTGCTTGGGTTGATGAATATTATAGTCATTGCTGCCGCTCAAGAGTAGTGGGAGTTTGAGTTCCGTATGTTTGCGTTTGCTTCTGTATTACACAGCCATGTTACAGCGCTGCCGCCAACCCCGTGTGTATTAAGGGTCAATAAGTGTGTAGGGGTTCATAATCATTTCTCCTGATTTGAAGTTTTGACTTTGAGTTAAAAGGAGCTTTTTTGTTGCTTTTTTCTTGTCTGTTTCTGGGCTAATTGATACTGTAGTCATTCCTTTCGCCCAAGAGTAGTGGGAGTTTGAGCACTAGACTTGATTTTGTGTGTTTTTACCAACTCCTCGTGTGCTTCATATTTAGGTTAATAAATGTGTGGCTTTTATAAAAAAAAAACACAAACTCAAAAAAAACCAAAAACATTTGTGTCTCATTATAATTTAAATTTAAGCTGAAAACCATGTGAGCTGTTGGAACAGGGATCACCTACGTGGTTTACTTGGCATTGGCAGGAGATCTTGCACTTTAATGGCCTTTGTAATGGCACTAAAACCTCTGTTTAAAAAAGGTGCATTGGAGTTTTTCCATAGAGCACAGATATATTTTATTGGCATTAGAATGGATTGCATCCTTTTCTAAAACTATTTAATTGATACTTTAACTTACTACGTTTGCAGGATCTGCAGTAAGTTATCACCAACTAAGGTAATCAGTGTGTCGGAGAGTTGTTAAATTGTCATCTTTCTACTGTAGAAAACTGGCAGGTATAATACATCTCCCATAAATCTTATTATTGACATGACATGATCATGTACTACAGTGGCTGTAATGTAATTGATGTGTTATTTCCCAGCACAAATGACAGGAATAAAAATGATTTATCAGCCCAAGAATGCACAACACAAAACCACAGACTGCAATAGGAGAATAACACTGCAATAGCTCAAAACGTAAACCCAGTGTCCTAAAGTTAAACTTTTATCATCTTAAGCTACTAATATTCAAATATCGGCTAATCTCAATGCAATAAAAAAGATTTTTATGAAATAAACATCATGCCTTTCAAATGCAGCATCAGGAAAAGCCTCTTAGGTGAGCATGCACGGTCCGGCAGGTAGTTGTGTGTTAGCAATGGTTTAGCTATACAGCTAATGTTGTTAATTCTATTGTGTTAAAAAAAAAGAAAAAAAGCGGAGTTGATGTCTCCGAATAAAGATTATATATTGAAAAAAAAAAAAAATGCTGTATTCATAAACGAAACACTCCATTTCCAATGTTATATTAGTTTCTGTCTCTGTGAATAGGTTGCTATATATTGTAATTAAGTTACGTTAGCAAAGTGTATCTTAACTCACCACGCGGTAATCTACGGATAATGTATTTCTGTAAAATTATTAAATGAGCAGTAATCGTAGGAACATATGCTGACCATTATTGCATCACTAAAATCAGTCAAAAAGTGGCATTTGGAAATGTAATAGAAAATTTTATATGCACACATTATTATATATTTTTTAAATATGCAAACATTATTGTAATTTTTTTAAATAAATCTGGGTATTTCACAAAAAAAAAAAAAAAACTTTTATCATCTTAAGCTACTAATATTCAAATATCGGCTAATCTCAATGCAATAAAAAAGATTTTTATGAAATAAACATCATGCCTTTCAAATGCAGCATCAGGAAAAGCCTCTTAGGTGAGCATGCACGGTCCGGCAGGTAGCTGTGTGTTAGCAATGGTTTGGCTATCCGCCACGTAGCTGTGTGTTAGCAATGGTTTGGCTATCCGCCACGTAGCTGTGTGTTAGCAATGGTTTGGCTATCCGGCAGGTAGCTGTGTGTTAGCAATGGTTTGGCTATGCGGCAAGTAGCTGTGTGTTAGCAATGGTTTGGCTATCCG